TTGCTATAATGTATCCCAATTGCTTTTTTTTTTTTTTTTTTTTAAAGTTTTTGGTATTTTATAAATGGAGGTAATTTTTTTTTTTTTTTTTTTTTGTCTCAGCTTTTTGGGCATCCAGTTTGTGTTTATTTAAATATCTATAGCATTCTTTTTTAACTGTGACCATTTGAACGCAACAGAGCTCTTTCAGAAGTGCCAAATTCAGATGTGATCGCTGGAGTTCGAGTTGGTCTTGTTGGTGACAAGTTTGTTGTGAATCCAACAACAAAGGAGATGGAAGCCTCAGATTTGGACTTATTTCTTGCAGGCACAGATAGTGCTATATTAATGATAGAGGTTAACCTTTAGTCCTTATTCGTTTCCTTTTGGATTTTTTTGATTTGGATGGCTTTCTATTTGATACCTGTCTTTCTTAGGAAGTAACCAATTCTTCTCTCCAGTTAAGGATAATGATTTTTAGTTTTATTTTTTTCTTTTCTTTTGTGTATTTGTTTCTGGAAATAAGTGCAATCACTAAAGGAATAGTTCAAGTTTATAGGCAGATACTGGCTTTAGCTTTATTAAACAAGACACGGAATTGTACCCTTGCTTTCAGCTCACTATAAGAAAAGAGAAAGGAAAATACATAAAATAAAGGAGCATAAGAATCATTCATGGATATGAACATGCCCCCTGCATGTGCTTGTGACAAGAAGTTAAAGATTGCCCCATCAAGTCACAACTATTGAAGTATCTAGTTGTTCAAGAGTATCTCTAGGTCAACTTACGTTTGGTTTTTAGATGACGTGACAACTTAAGTACTATAATCCTTGCACAACTTGTTTCAGAACAATTTGCCAGTGTCTCTTTTCAATTGACTTATGTTGGTTTGCTATCAGTTACAGATGTGAGGAATTTGTTTGTTGCAGGGTTATTGTGATTTTCTTCCTGAAGAAAGATTGCTTAAAGCTGTTCAAGTTGGGCAGGTTGTTTTTCTCTTCTACGTATGTTGCTAATCAGCTAATTATTTTTTAGAATTCATGAATTTTGAAAATTTCTTTTACTTGATGAATTCAATTGATACCTCTTACGGCTAAATATAATATTTGGTCTATTAACTATTGAGGATAGTGGCCGTCAGTCCTACCTTCTAAAAAAATTAGGGATCTAAAAACTGGAAGCTTCATCGTTTCAGTAAATCGCCACTAGAAAAGACTAAAATATCGCTCCTGATTCTCTTTCTCAAATTGGCTATTTTAAGTCATTTTCAATGGACGTTTTTTCAAAACAATGTAGTTTTAAATTTTCAGACTCTTAATTTTTTTAGAAGGTAGGATTGATGTGCATTTTTTCAAATGTAACTATTAGTCTGTTATCATTTTAGTCTATAAGGTTTATTTTCTCCCAAATTAGTATAGAAAATTCAGAATTGTATCAGAATGGTCTAATTGGTAGAATACCCTTATAACTTGTTTGGTTTGAGGGAAGGGGAGGGGAGGGTGGGGGAGGAGAGAAATGTCTATATTTGGATAATAAAAATCAGAGGGGAGGGCAGGGCAGGGCAAGGAAATGGAAGGATATTGTTTTTCCTCTCCTTTCCTTGGCTTCCTCAAACCAAACAAGGGGGATGGCTTTCTAAACAGATCTTCTTGGCATCACATACACATGGCCTCAAAGTTTTATAATTTGAACTATATCAATTTTTTTCAATTAAGTCCTAAATTAGGGTCCCTCTACAAATTAATCTATTCAAAGAAGCCCTCACAAAGGCTAAAATACAAGTAATCAAAATCAATGCATTCAACTCCTTATTAAATTTAATTAATTGAGATTATAGCCTTAAATTACTTATTAATTATGATTATAACCTTATTTTATCCTAAACTAAACTAAACTAAACTAAAAACAAAAATCATGGTAAAAGTAAATAATAAAAATAAAAATAACCCCAAAAAAATTGGAGAAAATCATCTTCTCTAGGAAGAAGGCGGATGGAGGGAAGCAGCTAATCCATAATTTCCCACAGATTTCCTTTGGGAAACTGAACTGAGATTTGCAACTCAGTCTGGAAAAACAAGAAAAACTAATCCCTTTTTTATTACTAAAGGGAACCAAAGTTGCATTTAACTCCAACTTAAAACAAATTGGAAATAGGTGAAGTAGTTCACATTATATTTAAGTCCACTGATTTCCCATAACATACTGATGTGAGATTTTCCCACTTAACTGTGTGATAGAAAAAAAATTCTTAACAGCATATAGGAAGAGAGTCTTAGTTGATATCAAAGTGTTTAGTGTTCTTTAATTTGAGCCTTCCTTTTATAATATCAGGATGCTGTGCGTGCAATCTGCAGTTCAGTGGAGGCTTTGATTAAGAAGTGCGGGAAGCCAAAAATGCTTGATGCAATCAAATTGCCCCCTCCTGAGCTATATAAGCGTTTAGAAGTATTGTTTCTATTCTCTCTCTTAGCAAGTACTGTATTTTATTTCTTTAGGTTTTTGGGGTATATAAAATTTTTTAATTGATATGTGTGGTAACCTGTACACATCAGATTATTGTACTGCTAAATTTTAAATTCAAACATTTATTGCCAAAGTAGTGTTTAATTGCTTTAATGATGGAAGCTTTCTAGTAATAGCAATGACTGAACATGTAAACATACAAATTATCTTATTGTTTGAGGCTCAGCTAAGAATTGAGAGTCTCATCGGTCAGACTATAGTAAGGATGTTGTTATAGAAATTTTTTGCTGGTTTAAAGTGGAGCAAAAACTTGTTCCATACTAAAGTACCTACCACTTCAAATAACAAAGAAAGGAGGAAAAGATTTAAGAAATACGTGTATGAAAAAACTGAATTCTCCTAGGTGCAGCCTTTTTTTTTTTTCCCCCTAAACATATGGCTATAACAAGGGACAATGCCAGGTTCCAGAAGAGTATACGGGTAAAAGAAATTCTGTTTGGATTGTGTTTACTTCTATCATTCTTATGTAGAAATTTTTATCAGTATAACTGAGTGCTAATGGATGAATTATTCATTTTGTACAGGAAATTGCTGGTGAGGAATTACTGAGAGTGCTGCAAATTAAAAGAAAAATACCTAGAGGCAAAGCCATCTCTTCATTAGAAGAGAAAGTTATTAACATATTGACGGAGATAGGATATGTCAGCAAGGAGGAAACTTTGGCAACTACTGAAACATTACTAGATTTATTTGAAGATGAAGATGAGGATGAGGAAGTTGTTGTCGATGGTGAAGTAGACGAAGGTGATGTACACATAAGGCCAATTTCACGAAAATCCACTCCATTGGTGAGTCATATTGGACCATTAGGCAGTTAGTTTTTCCACTTTTTGCTTTACACATTTATATACATATGTATATATATTGGTGCCTTTCAGTTATCTCATCAAGGTTTCATGTCAGTGATCAAGCAGCCTTTCACAATTGTTTTTTCCTCCTGTTGTTCCTTCTAGCTGTATTCTGAGGTAGATGTGAAGCTGGTATTTAAAGAAGTCTGTTCCAAATACCTAAGGAAACGTATTGTGGAGGTATGAAGGCCTGTATTGTCAAAAGACAAAAATTCTGAATCAGATAAAAATTCTCTCCTTTTGCCTCCTTTTTTGAATTTATAAGAGTCTATCTCAGTATGAAGTCTAAGGGTACTTTATTTATGTTTTAACGTCTCCTAAAAAGATTAGAGCTGGGACAGTGCTAAAATGGGAGACACAATGTTATTTTATTAGTAGCTGATATTGTTAAAGTACTTAGAATGTAAAAATTGTTGATGTTCCATTGTGCCAAGTATTTTGTTGGAACCCCCATTATTTCAAAGACAGCCATTATCATTGTCATTTTCAATTTATTTTATGGGTTCATTCATGGATTGATGTCTTTTGATAATCTTCCTTTATGATGTCTATTGTCATTCCTGGATTCCTTTAACCCATTTTATGTATTTCTCAATTTTTTAGTTGAACTTCATATTTTCTTAGCATGCTTTTCTTCAATTTAAAGTTGACATGTTTCTTTGAGCCATGTTGTTCCCATAATGTTAATTCAGCAAAGATGCTTCACTAGATTAGAGCTAAGCATGTTTGTGTATAATTTTTGCCATTTTACAGGGAGGAAAACGAAGTGATGGGCGGTCCCCAGAGGGGATACGTCCAATCACATCAAGATGTGGATTGCTTCCAAGGGCACATGGAAGTGCTCTTTTCACACGTGGTGAAACACAGGTTTGCTAAAGTGTAGCTCCTGCTAAAACATGTCTATATGGTCACTTGATTTCTGTTTTTTAAGTGTGTGCTTAGCTGATTCTTTGGTGTGAGTATGCTTACATGGGAAAACATTTAGCACCTTTTTCATTGGGTGCTTATTTTTAGCTTCTAGTCTCTATGGAGTAGTATCTTTAAAATATTGTTTATTTTGAATCTTAGGAATTTCAAAACCATTTAATTTTTTCACATATTTGTTTGTTCTGGTTACCTAGAAGTATTGCACCTACACCATTCATTCTCACAATTTGTTTTCTCTTGTTTTTCAACTCTCTTAGTTTGGTATTGCTAGTCATTCCACACTTTTGAGTGTCAGGCATTCATATTTCTCATGTGTTGTTTTAAGCTTTAAGATAATGATTGTAACCTGGTGCACAAATTCTGCTTTTCAACCCCAACTTTCCTAGTCCCTAAGATGTCCAACATCTTGAATGCAACCTGTTACAAAATTAAGTTTGCTCAAAAACCATATAAACATCCAATCGAAAACTAATCAGCAATAGGTGGAGCAGCTTATTTAATATTTAATTCCACAGGTTTTCTTTTAACTTATTAATGTGTGATTCTCCCGCTTTTAACACTCCCTATTCAATAAACTTTCATTCTGTTCTACACTGTGCATGCAATGATTTTTCTATCATTCCCTTTTTGTGTTCTTTTTACCCTTTTTCTTTAACAGTCATTGGCAGTGGTTACGCTCGGTGATAAACAAATGGCACAAAGAGTTGACAATCTTGTTGGTGAAGATGAATTCAAGAGGTTCTATCTTCAGGTATCTTTTTAAGTATTTATTCTTTATTTTTTGTTCTCATGGAAGAATGAATCTAATTTGAAAAATATTTATGATGCTTTGTATTCTAATAACAGCTTCTCTTTGCAGAGTTAACCACCAGGGAAACCCTCTAACTGTTTGTCTTTGAGACCTTTAGCCCCTTAACATACACTTTGTGTGCTTTAGCCCATAGATGCATGTTATTGCTGTAATTGGCCTGAAATAGATGTAAACCCATATAGATGTAACCCCATCATGTGAGTTAGGTGGCCATCTCTACTCTGTTACCCTATCCTCATAAACACCATGCTGGCATAAGTGTGGTCCACTTGGACCCATGGAAGCAGAAAAATCCTACCCAATAATGGGGTTCTGAGGGGGATATGCCCTCTTTGCATGGCAGGGCTGAATGTTTTCCTGCAGATTTGATAGTATTTTAGGAATAGTTTTCAACTTTTTTTGTTTTTTTCTGAAAAAGGGCAATTTTAATATGGGGTGTAGGGGGTGGGAGAATAGTGTTGCTTGGATTTGAACCAAGGGCTTAAAGGTCACCAAGCCTTATGCTTGGGACATGAACCATCAAGCCACACATGCTGGTTCAGCAAACAAATTAGTTTAGTACTTAAAGTTCTAGTTATTTTTGATATCCAATTTAGAGTGATATTAACTCTTCTTATTCTGTTTAATGTTGTGTCAATTTTTCTCCAAGAACAGAAATTGCTTCAAAGAATCTTCTAAGATAAAAGAGTTGCAGTATGGAAGATTTGTCTTGGATGTCTACTCTGAATAGAGATAGTTTTGGGCATATAGTTATTTCCATTAGAATGGAGATTGGGGTAAATATTATGGATGTTGCAGTCTTCATATTAGTGGCATGCTACTTAAGCAGGGTAGCTTTGTGTTCTTATCTATGATCCACTAAAATTATTAGAATCAAGGATTAATATTTTTTAGGTATAAATGTTATGCAAAGTTGATGCATGTTGAATTACAGAGATTATATAGTAGGATAAAGAATAGAAAAAACTTGGTTGCTAATTTATTTCCTGTCTAACCCTCTCCAGAATGTTTGTAGTGATGTTGCACTCATGTGTTTAAGTAATAATGCTTCTAATAAGAAATGATACTGTATTCAGCACTCAGATCATTTTGTTCCTGGAAAACTGGCTAACAACTTGCAACTCTTTATTCTGATTTTCCAGTATTCTTTTCCTCCATCATGTGTTGGGGAGGTTGGAAGAATGGGAGCACCTAGCAGGCGAGAAATCGGACATGGAACACTAGCAGAAAGAGCACTTGAGCGTATACTACCTTCTGAAGATGATTTTCCTTACACTATACGCGTTGAGAGTACAATTACTGAAAGCAATGGTTCCTCTAGGTGTTTGTTTCTTTCTCTACTTGGTCAGAAAGCAGAAACTTACATGATGCTTGTTTGAGTGTGTTAATGATTTAGTTATTATATTCAAAAGTTTAGGACTGCGCTTACATAATTCCATTAAATTACATTCACTCAGAATCTCCTTTCCTCTAAGAGCTTCATTTCAGGTCATTTTCTGTTTGATACTAATTTCAAGTTTTATTGCATTGCAGCATGGCATCTGTTTGTGGAGGTTGCTTGGCATTGCAAGATGCTGGTGTTCCAATAAAGGATTCTATTGCTGGGATAGCAATGGGTATGGTTTTGGATACCAAAGAATTTGGGGGAGATGGAGCACCACTTATTTTGTCTGACATAACTGGATCAGAAGATGCTTCTGGAGATATGGATTTTAAGGTCATCCTTGCTGATTATATTTATTAATTGCAATGAAGTACATTCATTTGAATTTTCATTAGAAGATTAAAATGGTGTGCGGTGAACATTGTAGCATGTCATGCATGACATTCAAAAAATTAAACAAATTACCTTTTGGAAGAATTTTGCTTACAGGTTGCCGGAAATGAAGATGGTGTAACTGCTTTTCAGATGGACATTAAGGTCATTCTTAATTTAAGTTTAATAAAGCTTAGTGATTACTTTCTTTTCTGTTTCACTTTTTGGATGATTGTCGTGTTTGCTATTTGCTTCTGAAAAGCAAGTGACGCTACTTTTAATTTCTGTTATTCCATTTGGCAACTATAGTTAATATTTGGTGACTTTAATTTCCTGATAGATAGGAGGAGTCACTTTACCTGTTATGAAGGAGGCACTCCTACAAGCAAAGGAAGGTCGCAGATGTATTCTTGGTAAAGTGCACTAATATTTTTTTGAGAAAAGTTAATTCTATAT